GTATAGAGATCACACACAAACTTTAAAACAGACCACTCGAAAACTAGAACGTAAATGGCGTCAACTAAATCGGTAGTATTTCAAATAGCATGGAAGGAGAGCCTTTGAGATATAGAAAAGCTCTTAGTGCTGCTAGATCAATGTATCTCTCCACCCTAATTGAAGATAACAAAAATAATCTTAGATTCTTATTTAATACTGTAGCAAAATTAACTAGGAATAAGACCACAATAGAAACACGCACACAATCATTATATAGCAGTGATATAGCATACTTCATGAATTTTTTCAATGGTAAAATTGAAAATATCAGGAAAAAAAATTCAGACTATTAATTTAAAACCGGACAGTTTTATAACTAACCCTGTAGATAATAATATAATAATATCAGATCAACAATTACAATGTTTTACTCCCCTTTGAGAGACCGAACTAATTTCACTAATTTCATAATCAAAATCATCAACCTGTATACTAGATCCTTTACCTACATGTTTCTTCAAACAGATAATTCCTGAAACCTATCAAACCTCTTTTAAAGATAATCAATTCTTCCCTTAGCATTGGCTATGTACCTAAATCTTTTAAACTAGCAGTTATCAAGCCCTTGAGTAAAAAACCTGACTTTGACCCCTGTCAAACTATAGACCAATATCAAACCTCCCCTTTATCTCCAAGATCCTAGAAAAGGTTGTAGCGCAGCAGGTATGCTCATACTTACATAGGAATAACATTCATGAAATGTATCAGTCAGGATTTAGGCCTCATCATAGCACAGAGACAGCACTGGTTAAAGTGGTAAATGACTTACTACTGGCCTCTGATCAGGGTTGTGTCTCCTTGCTTGTGCTGCTTGACCTTAGTGCAGCTTTTGATACCATTGATTATGCTATTCTCCTCAATAGACTGGAAAATGTAGTAGGCATTAAGGGAACGGCCCTTTCCTGGGTCAGGTCTTATTTGACTGATCGTTATCAGTTTGTAAACGTAAATGGTGACTTCTCTAGGCATACTAAGGTAAAGTTTGGTGTCCCGCAAGGTTCTGTTTTAGGCCCACTGCTCTTTTCTTTATACAGTATATGCTACCTCTGGGCAAAATTATTCGTAAACATGGTATTAGCTTCCACTGTTACGCTGATGACACACAGTTATATGTTTCAGACAGATGACAGACATCAGCTTAATAAAGTTGAGGAATGTTTAAAAGACATTAGAAACTGGATGCTTATTAACTTTCTCTTACTTAATTCTGACAAGACAGAAGTACTTTTACTAGGACCACATGCAGCTAGAAGTAAGCTTTCTGATTACATAATAACTCTGGATGGCCTTTCTGTTTCATCATGTGCAGCAGTAAAAGACCTTGGTGTAATTATCGACTCTAGTCTTTCATTTGAAGCTCATGTAGATAATATCCCTAGGATTGCTTTCTTTCATCTCAGAAATATTGCTAAAATAAGAAATATATTGTCACTACACGATGCAGAAAAATTAGTTCATGCTTTTGTTACCTCTAGGTTGGACTATTGTAATGCCTTACTGTCTGGATGCTCTAGTCGATGCATAAACAAGCTCCAGTTAGTCCAGAATGCAGCAGCGAGAGTCCTTACTAGAACCAGAAGATATGACCACATCACCCCTATCTTATCCACACTGCATTGGCTCCCAATCAAATTTCGCATTGATTATAAAATACTGCTATTGACCTATAAAGCACTAAATGGTCTCGTGCCACAGTACCTGTGCGAACTTTTGGTCTTTTATGATCCACCACACCTACTTAGATCAAAAGGTGCAGGTTATTTGTTGGTACCTCGAGTAGTGAGGGCTACAGCTGGGGGTAGAGCTTTCTCTTACAAAGCCCCACAGTTATGGAACAGCCTTCCAATTAGTGTTTGGTGCTCAGACACAGTCACCAGTGTTTAAGTCTAGGCTGAAAACATATTTGTTTAGTCAAGCCTTTTGTGAATAGTTTTTTCTTAGGTAAAGGGGCAGGTCTGGAGGGTTCACAGGCATAGAGTGTTGTGGTGAACTGGTATGTTTGGATGCTGTCGTCCCCCCACTCTCACGCGTTCACTCAGGTTTGCCAACGATGGAGTGGCTGGCTGCCTTATGTCCCAGGGTGCCCTCATGTCTGTATTATCTTCTGGCTCTCCCTTTTAATTATGCTGTCATAGCTAGTTTTGCCGGAGTCCCTGCTTACACTCGAGTCTAGTCGAGCTTTATTGTCATTCTGCTACATGTGTGGACATATAGTGGAATGAAATGTTGTGTCTCGCAGGACCACGGTGCTACATACAAGTTAAACATAAATATGAACATAGAAGTATAAGAAAAATAATTAAGTTGACTATACATACTTTACAAAAACTTTACAAAAACTATACAAAAACTTACATAGATACTGTAAATGAAATTGTGCAAAAGAGGTATTTTGTACAAGAGATTGTGCAAAAGAGATATTTTGGGGGAAGCAGCGCATAGTGCAAGATGATTTGTAGTGCAATGCACAAGTAAACATATATTATCAAACTGAGTCTTTGTGTGAGGGAGTGTCTATAAAAAGTGTTCAGTGTACATTCAGAGAAAAGAGTGTGTTACTACAGGTGGTTTGTATAGCCCACTCACCTGTGTGTAGCACACTCAGAATTGCACTTAAACAGATTGTCAGTTTTTTCATGAGTTGGGGGGAGGGGGTGAGGTGTTCATGGTTTCAGGAGGTAGGGTTGTGGATGAGGTTTCAGAGGCTGACAGGGAGATTGGAGTTGAGGACAGGGAGATTGGAGTTGAAAAGTTGAAACTCTGCACGCAAAGTACATTGTCCTTAACCATTAGAGGACAAAAGCTTACCTAACAATCTTTCCCTCTCTCTCTCTCTCTCTCACTCTCTGTCGAGCTACACATGCTACTTCTGAGATGCCAGTGATCCTGACCCTTTCTGGTCTCCGGACCTGCCTGACCCATCCTGATGCCCTACTTCTGGTTGGAGTTCTCATCAGTTGAGTTCGCTCACTGCTGCTGGGGGTGGCCCCATATGGACGGCCTGAAGAACCGTTTGGATTGCTGGGGATGGTGCCACCAGGGGGCTGTGGAGATGGCTTGGGGATCTCATATGGGAAGCTGTACTGTGATGGCTTGGGACTGCGATTGCTGTGGTGGCTTTGGGGCTGCAGTTGCCACAAGCACCTTCGTACTCAGGACTTCATCAGTGGACAGTGGATAGATTTTAACCAACTGGACTTCTTGCGAAAACTGTGCTGAATTTACTGGTTGCACATTTGCACTATTTGTCCATATAGTACACAATAATAGAAGGGATTTATTTATAATTGCACTATCCATTGCACCCAGATGAGGATGGGTTCCCTTTTGAGTCTGGTTCCTCTCAAGGTTTCTTCCTCATATTGTCTCAGGGAGTGCTTCTTTGCCACCGTCGCCTCTGGCTTGTTCATTAGGGATAAATTGACATATTTACAATATATTTTTTGAATCCATTTATTTCTGTAAAGCTGCTTTGTGTCCATTGTTAAAAGCGCTATACAAATAAAATTTAATTGAATTGAATTGTTGTTGGGCGTCTTGGATAACCTCTTCTGGAGACTTTGACTATCTCACATGCTTCTGTTCCTGGAGACAGCTTTTTTTATATAGATTTTATATTTAGATTTAGATTTAGACTTTATTGTTACATCACAGTTTACATCAAGCTTTCAGGATAAAACATATAAAAGGTGAGTAAAACTACTATGTTACAGAACTCCCATCTAGGAGATCTAGCAGATCTTGGAGAACAAGATATAACATATTTGTGCATAATGGAGAAAATGTAGATAGATAGATAGATAGATAGATGTAGTACTTTACTGATCCCGCAGCAATTACAGACATAAAATATGACATTACAGATGCCAAATACTAACAAGACACACTTAAATAAATATGCTATATTACTAATATAACTTTATACTGTATATTGCACTGTGCGTATTGAACTGTGTGGTCACACAGAAGATAAACAGTAAAATAAGCATATGCATAGTAGCAAATGTAAATCGTATGTCTTAAGTAAAGTTTCAAGTGAACTCTGTAGATTACAGTACAAGAGATAATGTGTGAGACAATGTGAGCCTCTCTACGATAGACAGCAGACAACCTTGGTGATGTTATGTGATTTGAGTGCTATAACTTTCTCAGTGTCATTTAATTTACTACCAGGACAACCAGCTGCATTCTCCTGCTCGACATTGTCAGATATAAATGGAAACTTGCGAACTCGTAAGCAAAGAACATACCATTGAAAATAGAAGCCATGAACACTGGAAAGGCATTCTTGTGATCTTTAATTTCAACATCTATTACATTTTCAAGTTTAATTTCTGGCTAGTCTGTACAGCTAATACCATTAGACGATACAAGTCATCCATTTACTGACAGTTATCGTTAGTAAAATACTTTGTTTGGGTGAAATTATTATAATTCCTACATGTGATATCAGACAATTGATATTATCTATCTATCTATCTATCTATCTATCGATCTATAAATGTATAAAATAAATAAAAAATATAAAATATATAAAAATATATTTCTGGTTAAATTAAATGTGTCCTGCATGTTTAGTGAAACACTAGTGTGACCTGAGGAAATTGGAGGAAAAAATAAATAAATACATACCGCGAGGAGAAATTGTGAAAATAGAAGAAGCTAAATTAGGTTCTTCATAAAAACCATGTGAACAGTCTTACGTGAAATACAAGAACACATGAAATACAGGAATTATATTGTTAAAAGGTTACAGAAATGATTACACTAATTGTTGTTGTTCTTTCAGCTGCTCCCATTAGGGGTCATCACAGCGGGTCACCTTCCATTGTCCGCATATTGATTTGGCACAGGTTTTATGCCAGATGCCCTTCCTGATGCAATCCTCCCCATTTATCCAGGCTTGGGACTGGCACTGACAGTGCACTAGCCTGTGCACCTCCAGTGGCTGGGGCTGGCAACAAGCGTGGGGCTCAAACCCATGATCCTGACATCAAGAGTCCCATGTTCTACCAACTGGGCTAGCTGGGCACAAAAAGATTACACAAATAATACAGGTATATATTTCCTGTAAGGTAATTTGTAGTCTTTGACTGAACTGCTCAATGTAAACACTAAAAAAATCCCCACTGTCCACATGGTGAAAGTAAATGTTCATGGACTTCCTCCATTGTAAAACTCCCTGCTATACAATGCTGCCCACTCATTCCCCTTCCATGCTATTGACCTGTCAATAGCACAGTGTGACAATTAATAACAAAAATCATGGACCCTTGACCTTTGTCCAGAAGGATTAGCCAACTTTTCTCACATCTTCTCATCACTACTGAAGGTCAGGGTTATTATAAGTGCTAGGATATCCATCTCAGGCCATGTAGATGTCACCATCTGTTTTGGTTATGTTCATTTCGATTTTAGTAATGCAAATATGACAAATATAGTTATCCTTACTGGGAATCTAACAGGAACACTGGATTTTATGGAGAAAATATATAACCTACAGTACTGTGCAAAAGTCTTAGGCACCCTTTTTTAAAAACAGTTTTTATCTTAGATGTTTATAACTTCTGAGTCAGTGAAACAAAAACATTTTAGATTTCTACACATTACTTAAAAAAATAAGAAATTAAATGCTACAGAATAAAAAGTTTGTATGTGAGTAAAGAAAGTAACCGTACGTAATAGACCACTTTTCAGACAAAAAAAAGGAAGCTGTCAGGTATTATCTGCAAAAACAGAAGCAGGTACAACAGTCTACGAAGGAACTGTGGCAGATTGTCCAAGATGCTTTGAAAAACTTACCAGTCAATTTCCTTCTAAAACTGCACAAACTGTACCTGAGATGACTGATGCATTTTTAAAAAGCGAAGGGTTGTCACACCAAATATTCACTTTGTGTAGTTTACTACTGTTTACTGCTCTTTATAGTTGATTTTTTTTTTTTCAATAATTTTGAAGGCATCTTTGCTTTCCAGTATTTCTTTATATGTGCCTAAGATTTTTGCACAGTATCATATATATAATTTGTCTCATACTCAGATATCAGTGTGATGGGCTGCAGTGAAAGATATGCACTGTTAATTTTTTTTTCTTCTCTCACTCTCAGCATAATTTTCATCATTTACAGAAACTGAAAGATTGTATATGTGTAAGTTGTACATTACTGTGCAAAAGTCTTAGACACCCTATTTTTTTTTAGTACAAACATTGTTATAGATTTTTATTTAATGACTTCTACATTATTGATTCAGTACAAAAACATTTTAGAACTCCAAACATTAGTTTTCCAGCACAAAATTAAATGTTACAGAAAAACGTTTGTATGTCAGTAAAGAAAGACGCATATTACATAAGAGACACTTTTCAGACAAAAAAACATAATGAAGGCTGCTGGGTTTTGCTGCAAAAATAAGAAGCAAGTGTGACAGTCAAAGTCTCCAGAAGAACTGTGGCTGCTTCTGCAAGATGCTCAGTAACACTTACAGCTCATTTCCTTATAAAACTGCACACACTGTACCTGAGACTACTATTTTTTTTAATCAAAGGGTCGTCACACTTTGTTTCATTGATTACTGTTTACTGCTCTTTATAGTATTTTTTTCATTATTTCATATTTCGTTATTTTTGAAAGCATCTTTGCTCTACAGCATTTATTTGCATGTGCTTAAGACTTTTGCACAGTACTGAATATGTATATGTATGTGTGCAGCCCATACAGCAGGTTCATTATTTTCAGAGGATTTTTGCCCTAATCTAAGCTTAGCTTAGGAAAATTTAATGATAATTTATTGGATTAAATTTCTTTGCACAGCAGCTTAATTAACCTTTATGCATACTTCTCTGTGCCAGTGTTAAGGTGAGCTGATCATCTCTAAAGCTGTTTAGTATTACGATGTGTCAACAGGGAGGGGGCTGATAAAATGCCTCACTGACCCACCCGTCAGAATACACACTCACACCCCTTTACTCACTCAGACACTCTTTTCTCTAACTTTTCCATCCACCTACAAAGGGAGGAGACGTTTGTTGGTGAAGCCAAGGTTGAGTGCAAGGGACAACTCTCCCTCTCTCTCTCTTTCACACACACACACACACATTGCTGAAAGAATTTATTACCTACACAACTCAGAGGCACTGAAGTATCAGGGAAGCATAGAACATTACATTGTGAAGCTGGGAGGACAGCACACAGGACTGAGAACAGGTAGGATGTTTCTGCTATCCTTTCACTGGAAGATTAGTTACAGTCAAATTATGATTAAGAAGGAAAAATTATTAAGAAGTTTAACCTACCTTTCTGTGACTCTAGGCTTTTTAAGAAAGCCTAAAAAATTTAAAATAAATAAATAAATAAATAAATAAATAACATAGTGTAGCACTCAGGGCAGGTGGATCACCTTCATTTTCTGTAATGCACTTTTCAGATGTATATCTGCAGTTTGAATGAATTTAGCAACTTTGGACCGTTTACAGTCCCAGGCAGAGGTGAACTGTTGAAAACCTCAAATGACCTTGAATGTAGTGTTAAAGTGAAGACAGTATTCTCAAAGCTATATCACTTTATCCATAGTTATGAGCATTTTATGACTCTTGTTAGACCACCTCTAACTACCCAATAAATGTCTGAGGCATTCTGTAGAGCTTAGCATGCATGTTTAAACAGATTGTGCAGGTCGCAGTTGATTTGGGGGTCACACATAAAATCATTTAAGTTGTGGCCAGTAAGTTCATGTTCTCAGTTCATGTTTCGCGGTGTGGAATCTGAGAGCTGGTCAGCTGGTGTGAAGTCAGAGAAGAGGGTGATGGGGTGAAAGCTAACTATAGATGAGTGCAAAAGATCACAGGACAAAGATCCCAGGGCACAGTATAGTAAAGTGGGAGGTGTCTGAAATGCCTATGTCATGTATTATGCAACTTGATGTGCTGCCAGTTATTGGTTTTAGTTACATGTGTAAGTCCATGACATATAGGACACCCACATGAGGAAATATGTTTGACAGCTGAAAAGTGATGTTTTATGAATTTACTAAAGTGATGCATACTGATATTTTAACTAATAAATGCCTTCAAAAGGCATAAGATATGTAGGTGATAAAAAAAGATATATATGTTAGATGCATTAGAAGCTATAATAATTAATGTAAACTGCTACACTGCTACTATTATGTTATTGCCTGTTATTCACAATTCTAAAAATTTGAAGTTGCACATATGGAAAACACAAACCGCTTGGTAAGGAACTTGCATATGCATAATAAATGCTGTGCAAAATCTTTTTTTTTCATTAAGCTGAATTGTTTGATTAATGCTATAGCCTATGTTATAGTCTAATTTTACAACTGCAGTGTGTATTTATATATCTACTTCGCATTTACACATATAATGTCTTTTGACTTTGTACTTCAAAATATGAACAAAAAAGTATGTATTCATAAGCATAATCAAAGATATGTTTTAAAAAAAGAAATCAATAAGTGAAAAAAAGGATTCAGACACATATTAAAATATATATGCAATGGTTACATAAAAATACACTTCTGGATATAAATGCTGCCAAAAAAATACATACAATAAGTAGCAATAATCGCGAAGGAGATGGAGCGTCCTAAAGTTCTAGGGGACAAAATTATTAAACAAAAAGTAATAGAGCCATAGCAAAGACCTTAAACATCCCTGTCAGTACAATGGGTTCGATTATATGCAGGTGGAAAGTTCATGGATCCACAGCTAATCATCCCCGGAGAGGTGCACCACAGAAGATTTCACAATGAACTCTCAGACTAATGATAACTAAGGTAAGACAGAAGCCAGCAGTCACTTGAAAAGAGAGGCAAGATGACCTGAAAGCAGCAGGAACAATAGTTACACAGAGAACAAGAAGCAGTGAACTACACCACAGTCATCTCCATTCCTACACCCCATGCAAAATTTAAAAAAGAAGCACATGTGCATCTAAAACATTGAGACAAATCAGAACTCAGATGAAACAAAAATAGAACTCTTTGGCAATAATTCAGCTTGTCATGTTTGGAGAAAGAAGAGTTGTGCGTATGGTCCCAGAAACACCCACAGTGAGCACCCACAGTGAAGTACGGAGGTGGGAGCATCATGATATGGGTTGCTTCTCGGCAAACAGTACTGGGGCATTACATGTCATTGAAGGAACCATGAATGGAGTGATGTAACATGCCATATTAGAGAATTTAATCTCCTTGGCCAAGAAATGGAATCTGGAGAGAAGATGGGCATTTCAACAAGACAATGATCCCAAACATGCAGCCAAAATAACTAAAAAAGGCTCTGCATGGCCTAGCCAATCTCCTGACTTGAATCTCATTGAAAATTTATGGAGGATTTTGAAATTGCAAATCCATCAGAAGGACCCTCATAACCTTGAGGAATTGAATGTGATTTGCCAAAAGGAATGGGCCAAAATTGAACTACAACACTGCAAAAGGCGAACTACTTCTAACCGTAGACATCTCGAAGCTGTAAATGCCAACAACAGCTTTGCAACAAAGTACTAATGTTGGTAATTTGTGGTTTACAAATACTTTCCCCCCTATCAATTTAATTTTTTAAACATATCTAGTACAACATAGAACAAAGTCAAAAGACATTATATGTGTAAATGTGAAGTGGATATATGCACTGGAATTATATTCAAACAAAAAAGTGTCCAAATACCAATTTCCCTTGACTGTATGTGATGGGTGAGTTAGCTAACATTTACTTCCTAGCTGGCCAGTTTGCTTTGTGCTGAGTTCTGAGCTCACAGAATGAGCATAGTTAAAATGTGGTGTTGACGATCAGGTCTGTGATGAATGAGCAGACCTTAGAACAGAGCACACTCAACCGACAGGAGATCTAGCAGGTTAAACTTAGCTTTCTGGATAAAAGACAAGCTCCTTTAAGGTGAGAAGTTTTTCTCTTTCACCTAGTTCTCAGTTACTGGGACAGTCATGCTGACGTGCACAATAAATATTTTATTCTTATAAGCAATATTGTGCAGATAAATAGTATGTCTGTAA